TCCGTTTTCCGGCCAAAATCAACCGGAGGCAGTAATTTATGATTTTCAACAATCTTGTGTGGAATTTCATGCTGAATAACGCGGTCAGGCGCGTTTCCCTAGGTGAGAACCGTAGAGGCCGAAAATTGCAATTTTTCGACAAACTGCCCGTTTACGTTTGGTGCCGTAATAGGAGCGTCCGACCTCCGATTGCCATTATTTTTTGACCGAAGGTTCACCATCTCATGGGCATTCTGAATATCTGGCACGTGTATCTGTTGGACCATCGTACGAGAATTAATTTCAAAATCAGTTTCGAGCTGTACTTTTTCCAATGCTTCAATTCCGGCCAAATTGGACGTCGAGGACACCACCCTAGGGGTTTTTGGGCCTTCTGAGTTCATTGGTGATGGTCCCATGTCCAAATTCTGATCAGAAGTGGGTGTTTCGATGACCTTGGGATTCGTGCCATGATTTTTCAAACTCAGATCTATATATTGGATCATGAATGTCCTGCATAGTTTTATTGAATGCATCAATGATATTCCTCACTATGGACAGGAATGATGTACCTCATGATAATACATCAAATGCATGATCCTATTTCCATACAGGGATAGAAATGCCCGTTATCAATCTCTATTTATCTCCGGAGCCTGGAAAAGATAACATTTTAAGACAAATGAAAACTAAATTGATAAGGAACTGAAACGTAAGCGTAGTTATCTTCTGGGTTCTCCACAAAGTTTAGATCAGAAAAGAGTACAATCCCAGAAGCTTTTCATTTGTTTATTCAATCTTTTGATGTTCCGTGTTACTTTAACCTTGAACTGAAATCTATGTTATAATACTAGAACTTCAATGAAGCTGTTGGCAGCTTTTGACAATATTAATAACATGTAATTCAATAAGAAGATACACAGAAATGCTTAACGGAATAAACAAGTGAGTTCACTCTTCCTTGAAGATTTCTATTTGAAAGACACAACTTTCATCTTTACAAAGCAGAAGAAGTGTAACGTTCAAGCACACCTGGCAGCCATTCTTTCAAGTATGTTTCGCCAACTATCTCTGCATGAGCCAATGCACCTAGCGGAGTAACAGTTATCTGCAAGAATAAGTTAGTGATAATCAATCATCAAACTTCCTCTTCAATCACTGGCTACGAAAATTAGAACAGAGTAAACATACATATCCTTCTTGAAGGGGAACAGTAGTTCGTATATCCATCTTCCACATGTGATCCCCTGACCTAATGCACAATATGGCATTTTTCGAATTAAAAAACTCAGAAAGAGGAAGATAATGTATAATGCACTGCAAGTAGACTCGTGTGGAAACTAAAATATTATGCATATAGTTCTTAAGGGAAAAAAATGCATACTTTCGAAAAAGTGCAACAAGCTAAAAGAGAAAAAATCACGCTTATCTATTGAACAGAAGATGGTCGTGAAGTGCACTTGAAGTATCTAACTCAAAAATATAAGGACGAAATCCTATCCATAGTCATTGTTTAATAACATCTTTCCTCCTTGAGTATCAGAAGTAACTTGCCTACATCCCATATTAGCAATACTCTTACCCTGCTAAGTTAGCCGATAACCCTATTGGAATCCCCAGCACAGCACTTAGCATATTCTTCTGTATGATGATCACAATTAAAAATGAGGAAATTCACAAGAAGCGTGTCATAAACTCCATAAATTTATTATCAATTTAAGGCATAGGAAGCGAGAAGAAATATGAAATGCAGTAACTAGAAGTCTAAAAGAACCAAAATTTTAAGAGATGCGCTGAAAAGAAAAATATACAAATAAAAACGCAAATATTCATTATTTAGGATCAGTGGTGAGAGTAGATTGAGGTGCAAGAATTGAATGTGGTCAAGTCTGCAACATCTTATCTTAATGACATCAATAGCGATAGCAGTTGCCAATGGAAACCAACAAATTACCGTATGCCAGATGACATTTTTTGGCAAATCTATATTCAGAAAACAATTTTGATGATAAGTTATATTCTTGATTTCGACCAGTATTGCGCTGCTTATTTTTAGGCAAGCTCATTAACATAACTCCTCCCCCCGGCCCTGGAAGTTAGCAATCCAAGTAAGTTAGAAATTTTAAGTTTTCTAATAATCCCACTCTTGTAAGATGCATCAGATGAAAAAGTCTAACAATTGTATGTAGATTACATATTAATCTAATTTAGATTTACACACATAAATAACACAATCATATTTTTGTATTGTCAACACATTTACCAACCATAAATGTGCTATTACTACCTAGGGAGGCGCAGACATGCTCTCTTTCATACTCTCAGTGCTAACCTCATAAATCCATTGTTTTCCTGCGTATCATATAGACAACACAACTTCTCAGTTTTAATTTGGAAATTTTAATCAGCCAATTCATGGGTGTTGAAGCCTCTGCAATATGAGACTATTTCTGCTATGAGGTGAAATTCAAAAGGCTTAGATTAAGTAGAGAAATTCTAGGGTTCAATAGCCTGGACTATACACTAGGAAAGCTTGTCAGCAAAAACTACATTCCAAAATGAATTTACATGCTTAACTTATCTGTGACAATTCTTACGAAATAGAAAGCATTTGGACATCATTATTGATTTCCACTGGCTTAACAGAAACAGCATTTCTCCAAATAATACTATGACTAACAACCAACTTTTGGCTTACAATCACAAAACAGTATAAGGGCAAGAAATAACCCGAGACATCATTAGAAGGAATTTCCAAAATAAATATGGATGTCAACATTTGAGATTAATTCTTAAAATTCAAACTATCATCAAAGAACTAAGAATCACAATGCTTTTCGACATAGGACTGTAGTATATCAAAAATATAACTTATAAGCCGTAGAAACAACGATAAACACAAGAAAACTCTAAAGTCCCCCAACTAAGCAACTAAGCTACATAATTAACATTTAACCAGAAATTTACATTATTCAATGCAAAATTAGACAGATGATATATATACATACGAGGGCGTGGACGAGAGCACGCAACCTGGGGCATCTCATCATAGCTGTCGGTCGTTCGAGGAGATCATTACGCCATTTTGCCCCATTTTCCATTTTTAAATTTTCTGTTCTTTTTTTTTTTTTTTTCTTTTAGAAGAAATGTGATTTGATTATGGTGGATTTATTTAACATTAAATATATTCACATAGGCGTCATTGAATGAAGGTGTCGTGGTGTAGTTGGTTATCACGTCAGTCTAACACACTGAAGGTCTCCGGTTCAAGTCCGGGCGACGCCATTTTTCCTTGCCTCTTTTTAAAAATAATTTAATATTTAATTTTATCTTTTGCGCACCAAAAAATACAAAATCTAACTATTGGGGGAGTCATCGCCGTCCGCCGCCTACTCACTCCTCCGAGCGCCACCCAGGTCTACTAATTTTTCTTACCGTATGGAGGTTTCGATTCCTCCTCGTTGCTTTAATTCTTCTGCTCTAACCCAAGCTCGCCTGTTCAACACACGATTTAACCTCTCGCACCGGGTTCTTATCCCCGCACGCCTTCAGATGCGTAAGTTGCATCTCCTGCAAACCTTCGCTCCACTAATGGACTCTCGCTCTCACTCAACAATTCCTCATGCCTTCGACGACAATGGGTCGCCTTCGATGACGAAAGAACTGGGTAATTACTCGTCAAGTTTAATGTTTTTGGCATAATTTTTTATTTTGTGATTTTTGTTAAGGTCATTTTGGGTTGGACTTGACCTTAAATCCGGGTTTTAACACGAGGGTGCCCAACTGTATATAAATCTACTAACCATCTTTTAGCTTAGCCATGTCGGATGCAATTAGAATATGGTGGCCATGGTGATCGGTTCTGAAAGGAGGGGTGGAAAGTAATGACTCTTAATGTATCGCGAAGCTAAAGCTTGATTTGTTTGTGTATAACCAGTTAGGCGCCCTGCCCTTAAAAGCTGCTTCAGTTATCTCGTTAGAATTTGTTTTGTATTTTTGGTGATGGTTCTAATTCTTGAGAGATGTAGGCGGAAGATTTGGAGAAGTGAAGAGGGTTACAAAAGAAACAAATGTACACGTGAAGATTAATCTGGATGGTAATGCCGTGGCTGAAAATAATACAGGGATACCATTTCTGGATCACATGTTGGATGTGAGTTTTCATTTGTTTTTCTGTTTAATGATTAGTTATATAATATTTCTTCAAAATGATTTGTTTTGAAGGAAAAGGTTTTTGGTTTTATATATAGTCAAGACAGTTTCGGCTATGAAAATTATTTGTTAAGTTTGATGTCAATTTCAATTGGTCTAGCAATGAATTGGAGTTGAGAAAAAGAAACTTGTAGTTGGTCCCAAGTGGAACAAAAACTTAGCCCCTGTTTGGTGGCCATATTTTGGAAAAACGTTATTTTAAATAATCATTTTTTTGGAGAATGTGTGGTTAAGTTTTGGATTTACGTGTAGAATATTTTATTATGTGAATGCGTAGTTGAAAATGTGTATATAGAAAAAAGAGTTTGAAAGAATGGGAGATAAATAGGGGCTTAGTTTGTTGTAGTAATGAGTTAAGTGATGTGGGTGTTAAGTTTATTCTTTCACTATCAGTCTGCTTTTATGCTAATGGTTAGATTATCTTTATGTTTCTTCAGCAACTTGCTTCGCATGGATTGTTTGATGTGCATGTGAAGGCTACCGGTGACACTCACATCGATGATCATCATACCAATGAAGATGTTGCCCTAGCCATTGGAACAGTGAGTTTTAGATAATTTATCCTTTTATGAAAATAATTTATCCTTTATTCCATAATTTCATGATCCTATGACTAGTGCTTAGGCATCACGTAGACCTCATGTGCATGTTTGCCAAAGAGGATTGAATAGTAGTTATGACGAAAATGATGCTAATATCTTGTTTGGAATGCTATCTAATTTTGTCAAATATGGTGTATCACACACGCGCTATATGTTCTTTGTCGCTGATCTGTGTGTTGTTGTTTCTGAGATCCCTTCTCTGCTTATGATTCATGGGCATTGCAATGGTCTTGTAATTCCAGCCCTTCATTAAATGAGAGTTCGTGACTACCTTTACTTTACAACTATCAGTATGCGTTTGTTCTTATTTATTTATCAAAAAGCTGCAATCAATTTTCGGTTGATTTTTAGCTTCTATGTTTGTACATCTCCTTGTCTCTGAAGTCACACAATTTCCTATCTACAGAGAGAGATTTCATGTTCCAGTATGTATGTCAAAGATTCTTGTAATATGTGATGAGTGATTTAAACTTTAAATTTCTAGAAGCCTTCAACTAGTGGATTTTACTTGAAAAAGTCATTTTTATTTTTTGCCTGAAATTTTTTGGCAGTACATACAGAAATTGGCAACTCTAAATGATTATCCATGCAGGCTTTGCTGCAAGCACTTGGTGATAGAAAAGGAATCGGCCGGTTTGGAGACTTCTCAGCTCCACTTGATGAAGCACTAATACATGTATCACTGGTACGGTAACAAACCTTCTATGAAGTAATTTTCTGCCAATTTGATTATTTTCCATCAAATTGAAATTTAGAAAGATAAGTGTCTGCCATGTGGACTTGGACGATGTAGGTATAATCTCTCGTTAGCATCCTTGAATTCTATTTAATCTGGTTAAGTGAGTATGGCGGATAACGTTTATGAGAATGATACTAAACTCATTAATGCAATCAATCTTGGATGCATAGAGGAGGCGAAGTACTGCTTATAACAAGATTAGATTACTTCCTTGACTGTCTGTTGTGGTGTTCATCCGAAGTTATGTTGTCAGTTTCTGTAATGAAAAGTCTACATTTATGTAATCATTATATACTTTAACTATACTGTAGGATTTATCTGGAAGACCACATTTGGGTTATGATCTACACATACCGACAGAAAGAGTTGGTACGTACGACACTCAGGTAATTTGATTTTTATATTTACTTTGATATTTATGGATGAATTTATTTGAAATTTTCTTAATGTTTGCTAGCATGATTGTGTTCTACTGATGGTTACCAGTGTAGTCAGCCAAATTCGACACGATTTGATTTTTACTTTTTCTTAACAGAACAATGTTAAGATTGTTTTACAATGACCTTGTTTGTTTGCTTTTAGCTGGTGGAGCACTTCTTTCAGTCCTTGGTCAATACCTCTGGAATGACACTTCATATACGTCAAGTAAGATTGTTCTACTCATTTTTTGTTCTTCAATGATGGTTAAGCATAAAGATAGTCTTTTGTTACAATTAATAGTGGATAACACTTAACATGTATGCACCTTAGATAATTTACTTATTTTTATCGGAAAAGGGCGGGTAGCTATCTAAAACTAGTCATTGCAAAGCTCATGCATTTTGGCAATATTGATGAGAAGTGCATTTTTGGCCAAGCCAAAAAAGTCAACTTATAAGTAACTAAGTTTTTCTATTGATAAATATTATAAATGAGTAAATTACTTATTTAAATAATAAGAGTTACTTACATGATGAGTAACTTTTTTTTCTTTTTTTTTTTACTAAAATAACTTATTCAAGCATATTTGGAAATTACATACTATTTTAGTTCTAACAGTTGCTGCAGGATGTACTATGGTTTTTTTTAATATGAAACGCATATGTGTATTATCTTAAATCTTCCACGTGGTTTCATGTTGAGCCTCTGTTTGCCAAATTTATATATGATTTATAAAGACGAATGGTAGTTCGTCTCACGAATTTGTGATTAAAATTAATGTTTGACTTTAACTGTATTTATAGATCATTTATAAATTTGTATCCAAGCGGACTCTAAGTTCTATATCTGTATGTTTCTGATCGGGAACAGCTTGCTGGGAGAAATTCTCACCATATCATTGAGGCAACCTTCAAGGCTTTTGCAAGGGCTCTTCGTCAAGCTACGGAATATGATCCACGCCGTCATGGAAGCGTGCCAAGGTTTGAATTTCTTTTATTTACTCGAGATTTGTATAGTTTTGTGGGCCCAGCTTTGGGACACAAAGTGACGTATAATGAAGTATGCCAAGATCTTAGCTTCTTTAATAGTGTCCAATACAATTCAATCTCCTACCAAAAAGGCACTAAAATTATAGGTGCGTAGCTGAGAAAATAATCACGCATGCAACATTTAGTGGTGTTGATTCAATGGTCCCCCGAAAATATGTAGATTATGTGAAGCTGAACTCGAAAACTTTTGTGTATGCAGCTCCAAAGGGGTTCTGTCGCGTAGTTGATTCCCAAAAGCCATGTCGAAGGAGGATTATGGTAAGCATAAGTTGATAATGATAAATTCCATCATGAAGAAGAATACAATGAGGTTTTCTTGGCTGTATCTCCTCCTTGAAGGCATTCTCACTTTTCCTAGCATTGCTGTTGTAATAAAAGTTGGGAATTATCAGATCAATTGCCATTTTTGCTCTTACAACGAAGTGTGATTCGTATATTTTTATTCGAGTCCTTGGATACTTGGAGAAATGCCCTTGTTGTACAACACTTGCCATAAAATTTAATTATTGAGATAAATTTGTAGTTTTTGAAATTCTTCATTCTTTATTTAGCATCATATGCTGCAACGCATTTTTAAGGTACATTGCAGTCTCACGTATTTAATGAGCAAATTTGAACAATGCTTTCATTTGGTCAAGCCTGTGCGTGCCTTTATATTGTAGAATGCCAATCTGTTGGAATATAATTATTTGCAAAAGTCAAGTTCCATTTGGATGATTGAACACTGGATTCACCATCTAATGCTACCAAATGCGGAACGAAATAAAAATTTTGATCTTTGTTATCTTGTTTCTTGTTCTTTAGATACATATTTGTTATACAGTATTGGACATGACATGACTCAAAAGTATAAAAAAAACAATATTTTTATATTCTTCATTTCACTATAATATTGTCATATTGAACGCCAGCCAATTCTTTTATCAAAGAACATCTCCAGAGACTCTTTAAACATAAAATTTTCTCTATTTTAAAGAGTCAATACTTAAAATTTTGCTCCAAAAAACTCTTTAACTTAATATTTTAAAATAGAAAGTGGTTTTGACTATCTAAACTTGCTCTATAAATAAATACACTCAAACTATTTCAATTTTCAATGTAAAAAAATAATTTAACAAATTGAAGAAAATCTAGTGAAAACAAAGAAGAGAAAAAAATAATAAATACTTCCTGGGATAATCAACTCAACTTTCAATTTCTTTTTCCTTCTTAGTCATGTCCACAATTAATCAGTCCAGCGTATCAAATATATATTTTTATTTCTTGTGAAATCATTATTACCATGTCTTTTTTGTGTGGGCAATTTGCACAGGTTTTTGTTTATTTCCTTACCCCATTTGAGGTGAGATTGTGTCGTTCGTGAAAATTCCCGACAACAAAACAAGTAGTGCAAACAAACGACATATCAAGTCAAGCACTTATTTTGCAAATACTACGAATGGAGAGAAAATGGAAAGAAAACACATTTCTAGCAGAGCGAGGGAATGATAAATGAAAACTTATGCAACAAAGAAGACATAACCTGCTATTTAATGCAAAGAGAAACAGTACAATAAACAAGATTTTAACTTCTTTTTCTTCTTTAAACATTTCCTTGTTACCAAACATACCACGGAAATGGCCAAATAATCATGCAAATTACAAATTCTTCTGGCCTCTCTTTTTAAGAATTGACAGCAGTTCTATGCCTCTTATCTGTTTTTCCTGTTTATCAGATTAATTTGTATCTTAAGCATAGATGTCTGCAGCAAACTAAGTCGCCCATTCGACTATTTTTCATCCATAACAGTTAGTCAAACAAATTTACCTCATTGACAACTGTTTTTTGCCCTCTCCACCCATTCAAATATTCCCTAATCGACTACTTTGCCACGTCAGCTGTTCGTCTAAACTTGGCAATATCCTTCGAATCTTTCTTTAGTGATTCGGGCAGTGTCTTCACCACCTCTCTTGCTGATTTTAAGTAAGCCTTTGGCAAAACTTTTCCAGATTTCGTCTTCTCATTAGGAATGAAAAAGGACTTCATAGTTTCAAGCACTCCGTCATCTTAATCATCCAAGACATTTGACTCTTCCCCAGCCCAAGCAGGCAACTCGACTAACTCGCAGTTCAAGTTGAAAAAACATGAAAAAAATGGCGCCACATCCTAAAACAAATTGGCGACGAGATGATGCTTCTTCAGACGAGAACATAGCTTGACACCTGAATTGCAGTCTATCTGTTTTCTTGAAAGATCAAGAGAGCAGCTAAGGACAGGGAATAAGAACGACAAGAAAAACATCTCGAAGACTGGTAAATGAATAAAAGCATTACAGAAGTAATCACGCTATATGTACGGGGATTATTCAAACTAGTTCGACTGCAGCAAGTGTACATGCTCACATATAGATGGTTGAATCACTACGGATTTATGTGTGTTTTCTCATTTCTTTTATTGCACATGTAAATGGGAATTACAACTTAATCCATAAAAATGAGATTACTCTGAAACTTAGGCCCCTCTAACAAAGGTACTAGAACCTTCTAGCTGGTCGTAAAATCTTGGTATCTGCCTATAGCCGGATGGGTCCCTCAAATCTTTCTCCAATTGATTAATCACTAGGATTAGACAAAACTTCCGAACCGAACCCTACGGTTCTTCTCAAGTTAAATACCCGAACGAGTATTTGAATTAAGAACCGACGGGTATGGTTCGGTTCTCGATTCTAGGCCAATATCCGAAGAACCGAATCTCCGTAATTTTTTTAATTAATTTATTTTAAATAAGTAAAATTATTTTATTTTTTCTAAATAAATTTGTTAACTAGTTAATTTAGTTCAAATCACAAAATATGATTTTCCTATTTCTAATTTTCAGTTCAAAATCAAATTAATCAAATTGACCTCAATTTTATCCAAATATGTTATTCTACTGTAGTGTCGTTTCTACCGGAAAAAATCGAATTAAAGCTCTACAACATCTCTCTTAATTATTTTGAGCTCGCTTTCTTTCTCTTTCTGTGATTTTAATAATCAAATTTATGACGAATTCAGCAAAGATAGACGTGAAATACATAAGATTGAACTACGTTATTTTGTAAGAGCTAATATTGAACATATCATTAATTAAATTAACGTAACTTTATATATATTAAAAAAATTAATTATAATACGGAATCGAATGGAACCGAACTGGACCGAACCGAATGGAACCGAATCCGAACGGTTCCGTAATTAAATTTGGACCCGACGGTTTCACTTACTAAATACCCGAAAATTTTTGATTAGTTCGGTTCTAACGAGAACCGAATCGGACCATGTCCAACCCTATTAATCACACTTCTACTCGCATTCGCAGAAACCCACAACAAGAGGAATCAAAGGCCCCCATAAAACCATTAAATTTGGAATATCAACCAAGCTCAAATTCATGGAAAAATGGATATTAAAAATTTGCAGCAGAAACTCAAATTCAAGCTACCAATCCTTGTATAATTTCTGCAAATATATCATGTTGGAGACAACTTATAAAAATGCCAATGTAAGGGTTGGTTTTTAATAAATTTGTTTGACCAGTTTTAACCTATAAGAGTGTGATCAAAATACAATTTATATGAATGAAAATTTGGACAGAGTTTCAGTATAAAGATTACGCAAAACAAGGATTAATAAGGAGTAAAAATAGAGAATAATCCAAGGCGAGACGTTCTCTCTTTCTATAAGACAAATTGCCCCACTACGATGCTCATGGTGAATGACACTTGTCTCTCAAGATACAATAGATTCACAACTTGTGGTAGCAACACTTCAAACCACAAGAAACCGATGAACTTTTGATAGAATTTCCCCTCTACAAAGGAAATGTATGAAATGCTATCGAATTTAGAAATGAGAGAATTGCAAGAGGAGAATGAATGCTCAATACAATTGGTGTATCCAAAATCATGTCCATATAGTTCTATATATAGATGTAGAAAGGGTGCAAATGAAGTAGTATGGGCCAAAACATGCATCCTTTCAAAAAAGTTGCAACACTTGGCTAAAACCTGCATCCTTTCGAAAAGTTGCAGCACTTCATTTCTTCCAACTTTGGTCATCAATTTCTCATTCATCCGGAATTGGTTTCGAGATTCCAAATATACCACGACGATCTACTCGACGAGTAAAATAAATTGGTCTATTTACTTTTGTAATTTGACCATCGGATCAAATCCGAATATTTGGTCGAAGTTGACACGTGGTTACACCTTTTCATTTTTCAATTTTTGGTTAATAATTTGAACCAATTCCTACAATCCCTCACATGAATGGAAATTCGAGTATGCGTATGCAGATGCAATGTAGAAAGGGTACGAAGAAATACTGCATCAGGGATGGTGGCTTCTGGTCTTGAACCTCCCTTAGTGATATACTATCGAATTTACTCGGCTATTTGATGAATCATAGGTCTTGAACCACTCAGCTTTTGGCGTAAGTCAAGACAACAGTACTCACATAAATATTTTCCATATTATGTACTTAGTTCTCATGACTTGGTTCATTTTGGCCCTGAACCCTTCTTGGTTTCATAAGTGTTTAGAGAATTCAAACCTTAAACAATTCTTATCGAAGCGGCCCACTTCACACTTACATAGGTGACCTCCTATTAAGAGTATTATGCCCTACTCCACTTGACTTAATCAAGATATATGAATCATTAAAAGATAATCTTAGCCTCTATTCACTCTGCAGAAAGCACTTTAGTATCATAGGAATGAGTTGGGAATTCTAATTTCCTAAGTGCTTCATGAAATTTTCACAACTTAGTTGTTCCTTTGAACCAAGATCTTGGGATCTCCAGTCAACAAGGTAGGGTTACCATTGCAAAAACTCTTACATAGGAAACCTTAATCCCATTCCTCTCGATAGGCAACGCACTTGATCTCTAGGCGATCTTTTTGTAAATGGATCTGCAATATTCTCCTTTGATTTCACATAATCTATGGAGATAACGCCATTTGAGATCAGTTGCTTAATGGTGTTGTGTCTACTACGAATATGTCTAGACTTACCATTATACATGCTGCTTCGAGCCCTTCCAAGTGCTGATTGACTATCACATTGATACTTATCGCAGGTACTGGCTTGGGCCAACATGGAACATCTTCTAAGAAATTTCGAAGCCATTCTGCTTCTTCTCCAGCTTTGTCCAAAGCAATAAACTCAGATTTCATCGTTGATCGAGCTATGCACATTTTCTTTGTTGATTTTCATGATACAACAGCTCCATCAATGGTGAATACATAACCACTAGTGGACTTGTAATCCTTCATATCGAATATTCAATTCGCATCACAATATCCTTCTAGTACCGCAGGATATTTTGTGAAGTGTAATCCATAGGTTAAGGTATACTTCAAGTACCTTAGAACCTTCGTCAAAGCCTTCCAATGATCACGGTTTGGATTACTTGTAAATCTACTAAGTTTATTCACCGCAAAAGCAATATCCGGTCGAGTGTAGTTTGTAATATACATAAGACTACCAATTATTTGTGAATACCTTAGTTGTGAT